TTTTTTTTTTTTTTTGTTTTAATATTTACTTTTTTTAAACAAATTTTTTTTTTGTTATAAATTTGCTTTTTTATACTTTCTTTTTTTTTACATTTTCTCAGTACAGATTTTCATTCCATTGCTTTTTGTATTTTTTTTTCTTTTTAATATTTTTTTGACAATTTTTTTTATTTTGTTTTAGATATATACATTTTTTGGGTTTTTTTTTTATACGTATTAAATTTTTTATATATTTTCTTTATACATTTTTTTTTTGAAAAACTAGTCCTTAGTACGGAATGAAACAGTTATTCCCAAATTTATATACTACTTTTTTTGTCCTTTTTTTTGTATTCATGATACCAAATAAAGTAATATATTATTAAAAATAATATAACACAAAACCGAACTAAAGCTCGACAAAAAAACAAATACTTATTTTCTATATATAATATTAATATTAAATAATATTTTCTTAATAATTTATTTTATTCGTCTTTTATAGGAACTGCGTTGAAAATGGCACCAGAGCCTTTACCAGGCACAACGCCATTGTTGGCGTCCAGTACACATAAATCCGATATGCATTTGTCATCCGCTGCCACTTCAAACGGTGATAGTTGTAAGGTTAAAGTATCTAATAAATCGCGTAATGCAGACGCACTTGAAAGAATACCAAATAAACAAACGTTAAAGCAACAAAAACATACCATAAACACTACCGTTAAGGACAAAGAAATCAAACAAAATTCCAATAATAATAATAACAACAACAACAATAATAACAACAAATGCAATGGAATGCAAATGTCTATGGCAATTTCTTCATCAATATGTGAAGTTCGACAGCAGCCAGACAACGTCGCTGCTGCTACGAATGCAAGTGCCAATGAAAGGCTAATACAAATGCAAATTTACAATAAAAGCAACAACAACAACAACAACAACAAGAAAAACAGCTCTATTAACAACAATAACAACAACAGCAAGAACCATAGCAAGACTGTCAATGCAGTAAGTAATAATGGAACAACTAGCACCAACGACGCTATAAGAAACGGTATTAGTAATTCCGCTGCCGCTGCCCCTGTTACTGCTGCTGTTGTTAAGATTGACGATGCTGCCACTGCCACTGCTAAGGCTAGTACTGAAAATAATATTATTGTAGATATAAAAGAAGAGTGTGGTGCAGAGAATGTTATGATTAAAACGGAAGAAGAAAGTGTGGAGTGTAGTCAAGAAACAGTTGTTGCTGACAAGGAGAATGAAATCGAATCAAATTCAACTGACAGTAATATTTTTGCCAAACCGAAACCAGTGTTGTTAAGCGCTGTAAATCCTAACATAATATGCGGTCTATGTAAGGGCTATCTTATAGATGCAACAACTATTGTAGAATGTTTACATTCGTGTAAGTATTGTTAATAAAATTACCAATTTTTTTTTCTGTTTTTTGCACTTAAAACAAACAACACTAAGTTAAAAAAAGTATTATATTTCATATTCTAAATCAGTGTGCTACTACTATTACCTATCACCCTAACTATTTTATACATTGTATTTTTTCCACCCTCTCAAACTTAATAAATCAAGTGAAGCTTTTCAACGAGACAGTCACAATTGAGGTCTAATTCTTTTATTAAAATCTTTGTGGTTGCACTTTTTACCACGCCCTTTCCTAAATTATAATACATTCTCCAATAATCTAACAGAAGCGTTTTGCTGATTTTATGTAAATATATTTTGTTCATTTTATTGGTTTTTCGGATTAGATTCATAAAAGGTCATTAGTGTGGTTTGAATACTATTAATTCCAAAATAAGAGGGGATATATGTTCTTCCTTTTGAAAATGAAAAAAATTCTTTTGTAGATTTCAGTATACTTTTGTGATTACAATACTATAGTGATTATGTATTGAACGAATAATAGTAATAATATTATTAATAATTGAAATTTTTATTTAACCAATTTTTGTGATTGAAGTCTCGTCACAAAACCAAAAAATTAAAATGATCAATTTAACATAATTTTTTTTTTTTTTTAAATTTTTTAATGGTTTTACAAGAACCATTGTATAATATGTACAATGTGTTTTACAAAGATCATTATGCATATCTACCTAAGAAATAATATCGTAAAAGTTAAAAATATAATATTTTACGGCCTTGTGATATTAATAGCGCGGTCTGCGAATCTAGGGCACTACTAGAACCTTACCTCTTTCTTCGTTTTCCTTATCATTCCCCACACCACTCCTTACGTATTAACTATATCTGTGTCCAAATAAATAATACTACCTTTTGACTATCATATATAACTTAAGATATATGCAAAAATATGTGTTAGTTGGGTTGTACATTTATTAGGATAGGATGGATACCACCTCTAAGTGTGATCGACTTAGTTATTTCATCTAAGTGATACCGTTTAATATTCTCCACCTGTAGAATAATGATTCTGATTCTGACATATTCAAGCCAAGTTGTAAAACAAAATAATTTCTTTTTGAATTGCAGTGTTGCTTCCGAAATTTTAAGAAAATCTTTAAAATTTGTTTATTTTGGCAATCACTGAACATACATTTATCCCTCTACATTTTATAAATGTTTTGGCTAAACAAAATAGTTTTTATAGCTATCTATTAAAATATCGAAATGCAATTTCAAATGCTGAAAATTAATAGGTTTTATTCATTTGTAATTTAATGAATTTACCAAAAAATTTAATATAAACAAAAAGTATTTAATTATCTATCTCCAAGTAGTTGTGATGACAGTAGACATGACAAGTTATCCTCAATTAGCGCAAATGTGTCGATTCGATTGACTTTTTCTTACCACCAAACATTTTAATTAAAACATGTATTTAGTATACTTATAGAAATTCGAATTTTTTTTTGATACCTAATACTAAACACACTAGAAATATTTTCACAACTAACCCATGCCTTGTGTGGGTTGAATTTGAGCGATGAGGACACATAATTTATTGCCTGCATTGCCATATGGTGGCACTTATTTTAATTAATGCAGATATTCTTGAGCAAATTGAAATTTTCCTAACATTGCCAGACAAAATTTCTCGTTCTCCGTATTCTGAACCTTGTACCTGCGTGCATAAATTTGGTACACAAATCTTTGTATCTTAGACTAAACACTTTCGTTTTGACAGTTGTGTTAGTCTATTTAAAACCAGCAATAAATATATCTCACTTGATATTTGTTTAGATCAGCAATTTAAAGTAGAGGTGCAGTTTAAAATAATATAAGGTTCACTTATGTGTTTATACTACAACATCATCAATTTAGTCAAAGCTAATTAAATCGTATAGACGTTGAAACCAGTACAATATCTTTGGACAAAAATCGGTCAAGTTTAAGCTGACTAAAGTAACGAAATAATTTAGTTATGTTTGGGTTTTCTGCATCTTTCATACAAGTTGCTGAAATATTTATAGTCAGATAATAAAAATGGCAATGTGGATAAAGTGATTCTCATACAAAGAAATATGGTTAACACCAATGGCTTAGAGATAAAGTTTTCCCACACTTAATGTTAACAGTACAATGGTCTCCTTATGTGCAAACTCGCTTGATGTTTTAGTATGGTATATAGCATTCAGTATAGTATATATGTAGACCAAAAGATGTCTTAAATAATACAAATTCTTTGAACAAAGAACATTCAGGGAAGAATAGAGTAACTAAATGATTTAATCATCAGGAATATCTAATACTCAGGAATACATCTAACAGTGGTCTACATAAAACGTTCCAGCACACTTAATTTTGACCGCACAGTGGTTTCCCCAGATACAAACCTAGTCCGTTTTTGAATATTTTACATATTATTTTAGAGCCCAAAGTTAGCTTTAAAATACCTATATTAGTGTTTTGGCGTATATAAAAAACCCACCCTTATGAATTGATAGAGAATCGTCGACGATTCACAAGTTTTCGAAAATTCGAAATAAATTCGAAAAATGTGTTTTTAAATCATTTTTTTTTATTGGTTGTTAACATTTTAAAGAAATTAAAACTGAATCATAACATAAGATAATAATTTTATAATAATGGTATTTATTATTTACTTATTTCTGTTAAGTGTCAATGAACTTAACTCGTTAAACGATTTTGCCAGCTACGTTTTAAAAAATCCTTCTTCAAGATATCTGCATTCGGCCTCATTGCCTAGTACCCTGAGGATTCCATCTCAACGCTGAATATTTTTTAATATTTTAAAATGATTTTAATAAATTATACTTTACGATAATTTAGTCGACTATAAATCCGGCTTTATTTGAAATGCCTACATTTGTTAAATTCTTCAAAAGATTGCTTTGAAAATGTTTGTCATATTCTTGATTAATTTTGTTATACAAAGTCATTTAAGTAAGTGAATTACAACTCTCTATAGATAAAAAAAAGCCAAATACTCTTCAATCATTCCAATGCTTCAACTCACAAATCGCTCCAAGCCACATTGTGTTGGGTTTCGCTACTCAATCCAACAACTCGAGTCCATTGCAATTTGGCCTGTAGCGATTATTTTTTTGCTTGTTTCCAAATTTATAAATACGGGTTCCAAGGGGAGAAATTTCCATTTAATCAAATGATGAAATGGCATGAAAAGCGGATGCGTGTAGTTTAGAGCATTAACCAAATCCTATTATATACTGCGGAGTATATGTTAAATATACTATATGAAACTTTATATTTATAGACCTAAATATACATAATTGCCACTATCCTTTTTATAAGTTTCTTGTTTGTTAACTTTTTAGGTATTTTCTTATTAAAACTCATACATTAAGGTAAAGTTTTCACTAAGAACGAGTTTAACCAACCAGCATATTAAGTTTAATTCCCATCACTGTTAATTTTAAGCACAAAATATAATTACATCATAAAATAGTGTCACGGTCTTCCAAATAAAATAGATATTTCATTAAAACAAGTTTGATTAATGAGACTTGTTGGGACAAAGGGCATTTTTCGTGTAGGCCGTTCCCAGTGGATGATGGCGGGATGGCATGGTGGTGGTTATTGTACTTTACCTTAATTCGTAAAAGAATACTACTTTTTCTATTAAAAGGCATAATAAATTGGTACTTATAGTACATAAAATAAACATTAAAGTTATGAAATTTAATAAATGTACATACAAAAAATCTGTTATATTATTAAAACAAATATTATTGGAAAATAATAGAAAAACTAAAAATTCTGTATAATATTTCTTAATCCAACTTGTTCCAGAATTTTATTGCCGCCTCGTATGGTAGTTTTCTATAATGCCACCCAGTAGGAAAAAATATTGGAAACGCAATGCTCATTGTTAATGTCCAAACTGTTTGAAAAAATTGCAACACTCCATTTACTTAATGGCTGTCCTTTTTAATAAAAAAAAGAAATAACCTTCAGTAGTAGGATTTAGTAATGTATTCACTCCAAATCATTTGCATATTAATGAATGTACGCACCATCACTTCTCATGCTCTGAATATCTTCTTATAGCTGCGGTTCTGTTTATCTTCCTCTTTTCTGCTGTTCAACAGATTAGTCAATAAAAGTAATTAATGTCGTATCCAGACACATTTTATTTTTTTTATTAGTAAAAAATAAATTTATCATTTATTGCACACTAAATGACGATATAATTAAGCCGATTGCTAATATTGTAGTCACTTACATTTGTAAGCTTAAATTTTTTAATTCCTCTGTTCATAAAGAAAATATTTCCTCTCGATGATTTACAAATTTAAATGACGACTTCCTATCCTAAAATATTATTTAGGTTGGAAATGTAATCAGATTTAAAAAAATTATTTAAAAGCTAATTTAAAAACATATTAAAAATTTATTATTTAATTTATAAAAAAAAAATATTTTAATGTTACGATGTTTGGAAACGATTTTTTTTAAGCAATATTTTTGTTATTTTTTTTTTTTATTTTTATATAAATTTTCTTATTGTATACACATATGTATATTTATATATATTTTCTTTTCTTTTTTTCAATTCTTTTATTTTTGTCTTTTTTACTTTTATTTAAAATTGTTTTTTTATTCTTTATATATATATTTTACACTGTATATATAATTCCTTTTTGTATGTTTTTTACATGTTATATATAATTCTTTTTTATACTTTTTTTTACAATTTATATATCCGTTTTTTTATATGTTCTTTACAATTCATATTTTATTTTTTTTAAATATTTTTACACCTTATATACATTTATTTTTTTTATATATATTTTTATATATATTTTTTATATATATTTTTTTATATATTTTTTTACATATTTTTTTTTATATATTTTTTTGTATATATATTTTTATATATAATTTTTTTTTAAAATATTATATATATATATTATATATTATATATAATATATATATTATATATATATATATATATATATATATATATTATATAATTTTTTTTATACATATATTTTTTTTACAAATTTTTTTTTTATGTTTGCATACTTTTTTATATATTTTTTTTTTGCATACGTTTTATATATATTTTTTTTTTACTCGAAATTACATATAAAGTTATTTATATATCGAGATATTATATGCCATACCACACCAATAACGTCACATAATTTATATATATTTTAATACAATATTTAATATAAGCCACGAAACTGTTTTTTTTCTGGTATGTGAAAAGTATCGAAAGTCATAGTGTAACTCCACTAAAATCACCTTTTAGAAATGCAGAATTGACACATTTCAGTATTAGACCAGAAAGTTCTAAAATTAAAAGGTATACATTAGAATATAACAGGCTTAGTATTTAGACAACAATATATCTTAATGCAAAAAATTACTTGTAACAAAAAAGGTTTGACCAATTTGCGGAATGAAATTGTGTTTAACATAAAAGTGAAAACAATTCGCAAGATTTTTAGCCTATCAGTAAGGTTAATAATACCAGTTTGAAGGTTTATGTCTTAACCTTGAACGATTGTGCTGTTCGCCAACCATCCCAGGCAATTGCTGAGATTTTTGAGGGATTGTGTATAATTTCTTAAGTATGGAGAGTTAAGATCATTGCTAAACTCATGCGGACATCTAGGCTCAGCGCAGATCAACCATTGTTCGACAAAAGAATTCTGCTTAACGTTGCGGGGAGGGTTTTTTTCTTTTTGTTTTGGTATTCTATTTATTCCCATATAATTTGTTTGAATACTGAAAAATTATATCCTACATTATTTATTATTTTATAAAAAGTACTTTGGTTATAAAAGTATTTATTTATTTTTTTGTATTTATTTATTTTTTCTATTTATTTATTTTTTGCATTTAATAATTTTTTGTATTATAATATTACATTATTTAAAGAAGAACCACAATCAGTGATTTTAATATAAAATTTTAAACAAACGAAAATATAACATTTCTGACTGTGTATAAAACACAACACAAATACAAAGCACACTAAAGGAATTTAAAATATGTTTTAAAAACCATCAAATGGGCACACAAACATTATAGGTTTCGTGATTTGTTGACATTCTGATTGAATTTTTTTATTTTATTTTTTTTTTTAATTTATTTCTTTTAATTTTATTTCGTTTTTTTTTTAATTTTCAAATATTCAGTAGAAATTTTCTGCCTTAAAAAGCTAAACCACCTAAACACATACACGTTTATATAAATTTTGAATTAAGTACATAGTATAATATAGAGTATATCTTCCCTTGACTACAGTTTATTGATATCATATAGGCTTTCTTCGTATACACAAAATGCCATATGTTAGCTTTGACTGAACTTAAAACTCTACACTGTAAATAAACGCTGTGCTGTCTGGCAACCGTTCACTGATGCTGAGCCTGATATGCCTCCTTTTTCCGAACCTTCAATACTTAAAGTGTCTTTAATTGCCCAACATTTTGAAACTCATTAGTTAATGTACATAGAGTAAATGAAATGAAATAACTTCACTTCATCGAATATACATTTTTTGAATATAATCCAACCAACGGATATGACTAGAGCTGTACATAAGCCTTCAATGATAATTACTAGTAATGAAGGCCAATTTTTTTTTTTGCTTTTGTTTTTGTTTTTTAAATAATTTGTTCCAACACTGTTTACTCGTACATAACGGTTTAATGTATATGCACTGAGAAGAGTACACACACACACTCATATATATGTAACACGAACACATACACAAGCACATAAATAAATGCAAACGCTAATTTTTGCTAAAATAATGAATAACCAACCTCCTGCCCCCTGCATTGCTTGCTGAAAAACATTTTCTGTACATTGGAAAAAATACTTTACATTTTTCCTCTTTACTACACTGCACTTTCTACTCTTCTGTTGTTGGTGTTGTACTTGTTGTGTTCTGTTGTGTTGTGTTGCGCTGCTGCTATGCCTGGGCCTCTGCTTGCTGCCTGCTGCTGTGCCTTTGCCTGGTTGATGCCTTCCGTTATAAACTGAAAATTGCTCGTTGTAGCAGTAATTTTGGGGTCGGAGTCTGCTGACTGCTGACGACTGTTGCTGACATTCACATTAAAGCTGCTGTAAAAGTTTAATATATTAAAATCTCTTGTGTAGGTTTTTGTGCGACTTTGTGCTCGCATTGTGCAGCTCGTCGTAGATTTCGACTTTATAGATTTTTCGTTATTGTGTCGTGGGTGGGGACAGCGCTTCGCTTTACAAAATGTACCCAAGTAGAGTGGACTGACTGACTGTTGTGTGCTTTCGGTGATATCAATTCTTAAGTGGAATTATTTTTTAATTAGCTCTTAATGAATTCCTAATACGTTTGATAAATATCCGCTCAAGTTATATTATTATAGCTAAAAAGTAATAAATTTATTCGACTTTATATATATATTTTATACTTTTCTTTTTTTGTTCTTGTAAAAAAATATATTTAAATGAATTCTTATAAATTCGATTTCATTCTTTTTCAGTTTGCCACAGTTGCCTAATTCAACATTTGCGCATGGAACAATATTGTCCTCGTTGTGAAATGATAATAAATACAGCAAAACCAAATATCAAGTAAGTTGACTCATATCTGTCTGTTTTCATAGTATAGTTAATAGGTACATTTATAAATAAAACAAACAAAGTTCCCTGAACAGATGATGAAAATATTTTGAAAAAGTTAAACAAAAATGTGAAAAAGTGAACCCGAAGTAGGTAAATAAACTGAAATGTCGTGACCAGGTACAAGTATCTATGAAAGTAGCGTTTCGTTTCACAAGTGAACAACCAGAATATCTGAAACGAAATACATTTCGCAGGCATAAAAAATTTAAACTGGGACGCACGCACATCATAACAACAACCAAAAAAATATACGTATATATCCATATATGTATATCGTATAGGTAGTGCGTTTACATGTTCTTTGTTGTTCATAAAGTGCCTTATGTAGCGCAACATATACTAGTATATACAGGGTGGGAGAAAGCTGTTCAATTAGTTTTGATGACTTTTTATAAAATTATATGTATTAATGTAATAAATTATGCTCTGCAATCCTCTTTATTCGTAATACGGTGGATGGTAAAACGGTCTTAAAACTATTTACGAAACACTTTATTTTGAAAATCTATAATAATGTTGAAGCTGTTTTGAGCTAGTGCACTTAAGCACTTATACTCTTTTTTAACTCGAGGTTTCTTCAAAACCTCTCTCTACACTTTGACTAGATTATTGTTTATCACTTCATCAGACTAAGCAATAATTGACCTCAGATCTGCATACCTCCCCGAGGAGCCTGTAACCATTAAGAGATTTGATAACGCGGTGTTGGTAAGTCTGTCAGATTTCGAACATAATTTCAGTGCTCTATCCTTTATGTATTTTTTGATGGGATCAATCTTGATAAATATAATTTATGTTGTTCTACAGAGTTTAGGCTTGGTAATTACTATCTAGCAAGAACATTCTCTCGTTCTCCTCTCACTTGTTTTCAATCTCATCCAAGATATATTTGTTGCCTAAATTTTAAGCCTTCTGTATTCTAATGTATGTCTTTTCCTTGATTACTGGAATGGAGTTTCAGCTTTTAACCTTTACGATACAACGACTGAAATTTGTACATTTTGCTGGAATGGAGTTTCAGGTTTTAACTTTTATGGTCAAATGACTGAAATTGGTCCATTTTGCATTCCTAACAGGTGGCTTCAATGCATTGCTTCTTTTTCATATAATATTTATTCTTTCCTCAATGTTTGTTAATACCAAATCTGCTTTAACGTGAAACCAAGTATATTTTTTACTAACATTGAACGTTTGAATATGTATACTTTCTATATGTTATAATTGTTAAAGTCTAGGAACCGGACTTTTCACAAACAGTTAAAGCACTTGTTACATTTTTTCTTAAACATTGCTTTCTCTTTGGCTATCTTTTATGTAGATTATTTGGTTATTTATTCACTATTTTCCTACTCCAATTAATACAAATAATAATATCTTTGTCCGTGCTGGTATACATAAAGTACAATAATTGCAATTGATCAATGTCTCATGCCACACTTGAGTAAAATTAAAGATTAAAACTAGTTTTGATGAAAGCAAAACTTAATTACTTAAATGGCCAAAACATTCCGTTACTGGGTTTCAACCTGACGCAGCATGTCTTACAGGCGCCACTGCTGAAAACCTGCCTTCTCCAGTCCCGTATATCAGGTGCGGTTAGTGCTTTCTCAATTTGATCACCGAAGACGCGATCTAGCTGTACGATTTTTTTCTCTCCCTACCGTTTCAAATACCTTTTTCGCTAGAATATTTTCATCCATTTTCAATACATGAACAAACCAGTGAAGCTCGCTCGTACAGCTTGTGGTTCAATCGGAGGTAGTAGTCGTCGCCAACTCGTAAGGGGCCAAAGATCTTGCAAAGACACGATATAAGTTTTCAACATTAATCTAATGTTTATGGTGTATATTATGTATATTCAATATTCTCATTCATAATATAAGAAGTATAACCTTTTGAAAAAAAAAAAAAATTAAATACTTTAACTTATGTATGTGTGTTTTTAACAGTCAAAAAAATCGCTGTTTTAAAAAAAATTCATTGGTTAAAATATTCATAAAAAATTTTTTTCGCATAAAAAACGCCATGAAGAATAATGGTTTTAATATATCAAAGTAAACCGGTAGTTCAAATATTCTTCCTAATATAAAAGTTAACAGAAAAAAAAAACAACGAAAAAGATAAAGCTGCCGCCAATTTTAATGGCAGTAAGATCGTGTCTCATTCTGAATTTTTGTTCTCATTCCATATAATCGAGTTTTATTCCTTTCCCTCTTTAACCGTTCAACGGATGTGATTTTACTGGCGTAAGAGTTTGGCGGCAATCTAAGAAATTTATTGCCAGCTAAATTTTTTACAAAATTAAAAAAAATAAATAAATATGTATATATATTTATATATATCACAAGAAGATTTTAGGCAAATCTAAGATATTTTAAGATAATTTGTATATTTCATGGGTGATATGTGAAGTATTTTATCCAAACACCAACTATTTAACACCAAAAGTTCTTTTAACTTTATTTATTATAAAATACACAATTTGTGTCATTAATTTGATGTTTTTCTAATTTATTAAATTTTTTTTTAATTTTTTAAATTTTTTTATATTTTCTCTGAATTTTTTAAATATTTCTTCAATAATAATAATTACAATAAATTTTTTATTTTAAATAATTTAAATATAAATTAATTTAGTTTATAATATTTTTTTTGTGAAATGAATAACATAGTATAATTTATCTTCGAAAAAAGTGCTGTTTGCGAGCATATATACTTTAAAGTCTTCTATTTTACATGAGCCTTCGACAGCTTTTCATGTTATTAATATATGCATTAGCTATTTTTATTTTTATCATTTAACTCTATTGTAGCTTTCTGATCACGACTTCAGACGTTATTCTTCAGTTCAAGAAAAGTCAGATAGTGATACATCATATCCGTTTCCTAACAATAGCATGAAAGGAGCAGATAAAATTGGTGGATATTTCATTCTATATTATGTTTTATATAAGAATTGAGTACTTATTTAAATGTTTAACCTATTCATGTAATAACTTATTCACACAGCACAGGATATCTTAATTCTGCGCTTAATTTCTTTCTTAACTAGATACGCCCCTATTAACTACTACTTTTCAGATATGAGATCATTAAAGAACGTAGAAACTTGCAGATTATGTGAAATATAAAATGAAATATCTACCAATTTTATCTGCTCGTCTCCTGCTGTTGTTGGGAAACGGATCTAATGTATCACTATCTGAGAGTTAAATGGTAAATATTAATAAAAATTAAGCTTAGAAATTTATTTTTTCCATTCCGGATCAAAAGTAATTTTCCGGAAAATGACTTTTGATTGGCGGCTATATTTTTACACTCCAGAGTCCTACAATAAAGAAAGAAATCTTTCCTGCATTGATTTTTGGACTTAAAGAAATACTTTTTACTTAAAAAATAAATTTAAAATATTTTTTAAATTGTATACTAAAGTGCGTTAAATCATATAAAATTTATATATAATATAAGTACCTATATATATGTTATGTATGTGTATACTCTTAATATATAAAGTTAAGTGAAACATTGTTTGAAATCATGAGATTTAATCCGAAAAAAATATATTGCCTTACAAGGTTAAGTGTTGATTTTATGCCCTTTCTCTGTGCCTGAAGTAAAACTTTGTGCCTCAACTTTTTTTTTGTTTTATTTCAAAGTAGTATGTGAAGTACTTTCAGTAAAAACGTGGGCCTATAAATGTGTAGGTGCCCATTCGCTGATAATATTTGACATCTCGAAAATAAAAAAAGGTTTTGTTATGGTGGTAAACCAACTTTTACAATATCCGGTTGTATTTTTATTTCTTTTTCCTTTTTTTTCTGTGAAACATTAAATGAAACATATTTTGATTTTCTTGTTTTATTTTATTTTTTTTTTTTATTTCTAACATTGCTTTCGTAAACATTTTTTACGTCTCGAAACTTTCTTTCATCAGTTAAACGCTCTTCCCATTTAGTGAACAATTTCAGTATTCCACCAGAAATTAAATTCAACTCACTAAGGGTGCTTCTACATTATTAAAGTAGAAATTTAATATCAGATATACTACGTACATACATATATATAATAATGTTTTTTAACAGAATGCAAGTACATAAAAAGTATTAGTATAAATGTGGAAATATATATTTACTGTAAACCTGGATTTTGATCAAAACTTGGTATAACTTCATTCACAACAAATTAAATTTTGATCAGGAAATGCCTATTAAAATTTATTGTTATATAAATTATGAGGTTCAATGCACATTAGACTATTGATTGTTTCCTTTCTGAAACTCCATATCAATCCGTACCAATAAGTTCTAGTTCTCCGTGGCATAGTGGCTTGAACGAGCTTTGTGCTTTCTCCATATTTATTTCCAGAACTTATTAAAGTTCACTGCAAGAAAAACAACAATAACAAGTCATCTTTAGGTGTTCGGTTTATATGGCTATAAACCGATTTTAGTTACTAGTTAAAACAAGAAATTACATTGATTGGAGGTATAAAAATAAAATTCCTATAATAGTAAACCAGATGATAATAAACTTTTCTAAGAGGTGGTTTTAGTGGATTCAAGTCTTACACAGCGACTTTTGATGCTTTCCAATTATCGCAAAAAAAATTCTCAAATATAAAATCTTGAAAACATGAGAAACATAACGACCAATAAGAAAGAAATGGATCGACTAAAAAAATGATTTATGAATATAACCGCGGGTACAAGTTTACAAAGCAGCGGAAAGGAAAAAATGTGAGTGAAGGAAATTTATACCGAAGGTGAGGTCTTTGATGGACCTAAACGTAGTTAAAAACTATTTGTGAATATTGCGGGTATATAATTAGAAAGTGACAGATAGAAATAAAGGTGCTTGAAGAAAATTTATATAACAGGTTGAGGTGTTTGTGGGACCCAGACATAGTTAAAATCGATTTGTGAACACTGGTGGAGATAATAATTAGAATTAGAA